TAAAATAATGTAAGGCAATCAATAACCGTCGATTCCGATACGGGATACATATTTAGAACTCGCGAGATAAACAGCATATACTCCGATTGATTAGATTACTCCACTCCATAAGAAAGAGTGACAAACAATATCAATACCGTTATTAACGCCATGCAAAGGAACCGAGTGGATATTATACAATGATAATGATGAGTGTATATGTTTGAGCAGCACGCGCGTGTACAGTTATAACTTGTCTATGTGCTATACGCGCTAGTGTATACGTTTCGTAAATTACAATAATAATTTTGTTTTGAAATATATAACGAGAAACCCTCAATGTCGATGTCGATGATGGCCGTGAATAAAAGTACAGAAGTAATAATGTGCAAATACGGATAGTTTGGAAGTGTACGTGCGTTAAATCATCGTCACGGAACATTTGTATGTATAATAAGAGTAATGTACTAGAATATTAGTCGTACTCTCGCGTACCTCTCCAGTCGACGTTTTACGATTTTTCGTAAGTAGGTATAAGTTAAATGGACAGTTGATGTGGCTTTTCAAAATACAGTACTGCGAAACGCAAACATCGAATGGGCTCCCGCCAGCATTGTGTTTTGGTTTGGGTTGCTCTTGGTTTTGTACAACAAATTACTGATTGCATAATACTTTTTTTTTTAAATTTTTTTAGATAATCTATTAAATATATATATATTAAATAAAAATAGTGTTAAACACGGGCCTTCCTAAATTGAAGCGTTCGAACACCACGCCATTCCTTTTTAATTCAACAGTGATCCCACCGAGTAGCATTTTATCGTTCAAAATGTTTCCCTCGTAAGATGATCTTCACATAATACGATACCGGTGCCCCAAATAATGATTTTGTACAAACATTCAAACCAAAAAAACAGAAAAATTACTACTCTTCGATAGTACGAATATGTACCACCTCCTAAAAACGTGTAGGTGAGCTCACGATATTATGAAATATATCAAAAACTAAGCCAGGGGGGTCGACTTATCTCAAACCAGACTAGAGGCAAACGATGTACGTGGCCACTAAGAACGATCGGACTGCTGCAGATGACGTGACACCACAGATATATCTCCTACTCGCTGCAGCGGACGTGGCACATACACACACACATACACACATACGCACATAAATCTAGATCGGTCAGATGTCACAATGATATAATGTTTAGCGAGAAATCGAGATACTCAATGTTAAACTTGCGACCGTTTTGTTCTTGTTTAAAACCTCAGTAAAACCATAATATATTATAATATACAAAGTACAAGTTTTTCGAAGCCGCTTGTCCGTGCAGCGCAACAAGTCTGAAGGCGGAAAACCGCTTTTGGAAACCCATCAGGACGTCATGTCGGTAACAACGCGGATACGATGAAGACGGATGAAAACGTTTGCCGGGACACGCACGTCAATCGTCCTTTCTGCTACCATTATCCTACTACTTGTCGTTCAGTTTTCCTTTTTTTTCTCCGCCTCTTTAACTTACTCGGCCCCCAGGGTTTCGTCCAGCCCGTCCATACCCGAATAGATTTGTGTTCGCAGTCTAGGAATAAAACGTATACAAACGCGTATCGACCGGGTATAACATATTATTATCAGCCGCGGCCGAGACGTGTTTATTAATTGCGGCGTGCCTGTTTTATTATTTTTATATATTTAAGAATTCAAGCGCAAAAAATTATACGACATCTAAAAGAAGAAAAAAAAAAGTTGTTACGAATCCGTCTCCGACCATATTTCCAATACGTATACGCAGAACCAGGAAGGGACTTAATAACGGTATTTTGCGATGATTCATTATGCAGATCTCGTCGTGTACTTCCCTATAATAAAGAAAGGATTATTTTAAACCACCTCTTTTTAATTGTTTCTTTCAGATTAGATACATCGTACACGTATCAACTCATCGTCAACAAGCACTCCCTCCTCCAAAACATGAAATCCCGCGATCAACGTGAAGTATTACCCATCTGCATTTTCACGAAGGTGAAAAAAAATACCAATTAATTATATCATACTCTTTGCCAAAAATATAGATAAATATTTCTGAATAATGGGCGATTGTAAATTGCGCCCACATTAAGTTGGTAGTAAAAATACTATAGTAAATTGCGCTCATAATATCTACTATCTAAGTGACCTTGAATTTATCGATACCTATTATGTGTATTTTAAAAATATTGTTGTTCATTTATTGGTGGATAAGCCGAACGTTTATCGCTATAATCGATATCTATATAAGCGATATCAATGCTTTTACGTATATACAACAACTTTATGTATAGGTAATATTTTAGTAAGCCGTTTGCACGCAACAGTTAAACATTGTATAAATATTCGTATTATGGATATTATACATACTGAAAGCCAGAAAAAAAAATGATGTTATAATATACCAAAATTTTAAATTTTCAAAATTAAAACGTGAGTTGTCTTCGGGTGAAGCAAAGTAGCGATGTGCTGTAAAAACGTTTAAAGCATTTTTGAAAACTATAGGAGAAAAAAATTACTAAAAAATTAATTTTCCTACTTTTATTAAATAATTTATTCATCTCAAGTAAACTAAAAAAAAAACATTTTTGGAGGACAATGATAGTCGCCTCTTCTGGGTAATGCTAAATGACCATCATAAAAATAATATTTCTATTGGGCGCAATTACTATATTAATTTACAATTGCGTAATTTACTATACAGACATTTGTACCTGAAAAATATAGGCGCAATTTACTTTCTTTTTTTTTTTTAAATAAAATATCGTTTATTGAATATTTACAATCTATACTATTATATGTACAATGAGTAAATTTGATGGAGGAATGACAGTGATGGGACGGTGAAAAAGGAAGCTCACAATAGAGCTACCTTTGCATGAATCTTAAATTAATTTTGAGTGTTGAGAAGATCTCAGGACCATTTCCGATTAAGGCGTCGGATAGGGTTACCTGGAAATGTTTTAGAATGAAGTTAAGATAAAAGTTGGTTTGGGTGGCTTTGAATTTTGAAGTGGAGTCTTGAATAGAAATTGGCTGCAGTCTGGTTGATAGATGGAACATTGAGGTCTTCGTGTAGAGCGGTGTTTGTGACGTACCATGGGGCTTTAGTAACTATACGGAGGCAGATGAATTGGAACGCTTGAATTGTCCTGAGGTTTGAGGGTTTGGCAGTACCCCAGAGAGCTATACTAACCTACATTGGTTGTAGGAGACTTTTGTATAAAAATATATGGTTGGATAAGTTTATATTGGATTTGAGGAGAGGTCTGATTAAGTGAAGGCGGGAGTTAAGCTGTTTTATTTTACTTTTGAGATGGGGACCCCAGGTGAGTCTCCTGTCAAGTAGGAGACCAAGGTATTTAGCTTCCCTTGAGTAGAGGATTACTGAGTTGTTGAAAGAAACTTCAGGACAGTCCTTTGATCTGAAGGTAAAAGTGACGTGTGTAGATTTGAGTTAATTTACTTTAATTTTCCATATTTTGCACCATTTTGAAAGCTTGTTGAGATGGTTTTAGAGAAGGTGACTGCAGATGAGTGGATCGTGGTCTTAAGCTAGAATGGCAGTATCGTCAGCATACGTGCCCATGAGAGTGTTTTCGGAGGAAGGAATGTCCGCTGTAAATAGGATGTACAAGAATGGGGCAGTGTCCTTCCTTGCGGGACGCCGGTAAGTAAATCGTGAGATTAGTATATCGCAATTTACTACTCAAAAATGTATGCCTGTATAATACCGAACGCAATTTACATTTGCCCTGAAAAATTCCTCTCAATACAATTATTGTGATAAACTGAAGGAGCAGGAATGCTTATTAGACACGAGTTTTTATGTTTGTTTGTTACACGGTAAATGGATATGACAATTATAATTATTGTAACAATCTATTCTCGCGCGCGTGAGAAACGCATCGTTAAAATATTATGATTCCTTCGGCAGTTATACCTACATGGAAATTTCTACATATTAAATACACGGGATATAGGTACGATTTAGATAATTATGTATGAGATGAACGTAGCTCATAGATACCTAAATCATTTCATCCGCGTTACGTTTTCCGATTTATTTTCGTTCCAGTGCCTCGAAACCCCGTTTACGACTTATATGTACTTTGGTCTTCATAGTTCATGTGCGTGCTACCAACGCTTATAATTACAACGATATAATACAATAACATACACAATGAGTTAAAGTAATCGTACCGAAATGGTTTCGAGTAATTGCAAGAGAAGAGGACCTAGTATATTATCTGCAATTTGTCACACCCCACGAGCGGAAGTGCGGCCAACCACTCGGGACAAACGCCACACATTTAGCATACACAAGATGGTCTTTTTTACTTATGTCCTTTCTGCCGTCAGCGGTGACTGTCGAACCAGAGCTTTTAAGTAGCCAACAGAGAGAAGAAAACGTAGTTGTTTGATTTTTATTTCTACTACCGGGCCGAAAAACGATTTTTTTTTTTTTTTACAAAAGACACCGAAGTTGCGTAGAAAATTCAAGTTTTCATTGTTTCCATTGAGTAAACATACACGCTGATTTTGAATTATCGAACACAAAAAATTTGATACCGAAAAATGTTATTTTAATGGAACGAATGAGCGAACAATGCCGTACAATACAAGTTCCCAAGTTAACAAGAAAACGTTATTTCCCAACCAGACGGGGGAACAGGAACGAATTATTGCGCTTCGAAAAGGAACTTTCAGTTTTTGCGCGGAAACGTGGGCCGCGAGGGGAAAGCAACGATTACGACACATCGGTCGAGTGGTTTTTCGTGGGGTCATAAATAATTTTATATAATATTATCATAACGTTCTATTGTCGAGTGTAAAAAATATAACAAAACAAAATGTCATCGTAGAAAACAAAAGATTTTGAAAAACAAAACCGCACTTGTCAAAGTCACGGCTCGGCCGCGTGGTCTTTGGTTGATTTTTTTATTTTTTTCCGTACAAAAGACAAGAGCAGTGTATTGTTCAGAGTACTCACGTTCCCAGAAGGTCTTTCACTTCGTACTTGTCTTCGATGGACTGAGACTTTTCTGCGTCCTTTTTCGACTTTTTCGACACGTCCTTCTTGCCGAACAGCGGCATATCGGCGGGGGCGATAGCGAATCGGTAGAAAAAAAACGGACAAGCCGAGAACAGCAACGGTGGTAGGGGGAGAAGGGAAAAAAAATCACGGGAAAAACGGGTACGCGACTTACGATCGCATCACGACGGTGGTACGCGTTGAGACGTCGGAACGTTTGTTGTTATTGTTATTATCGTTAGCCGGACGAGCCAGCGACGGCGTTTCGTGAAAAAATCACAGGAGAAAGGGGGAGTCGCTGTGCTCGCTGGCGCGTGAAAGACAGCTACGGCGAGTGACAGGAAGAGAAAAAGACGAGGTGGTGAAACGGACGCGCGCGAAATAGCGATCGCGGTGTACAACAGCGATACGGGTACGGAGAGAGAACGAGTGACAGAGAGACGGTGAGCGAGCGAGCGAGAGAGAACGAGAGTGAGTGAGTGAGAGAGAGTCACGTCGTAGTAATCGCATGTGCGGTCAGTGCGGTGCGGCTGACGCGATACCACTGTCGTCGTTGGAGTCGGTCGAACGAAAGCAGCGGCGTCGGCGGCGGCGGACAACAGAGTTGAACCGGCGCGCTACCGTTGCCCGTCGTGTGCACTCGGCGCGTGGTGGGAACGGACCGGAGACGTGCGCGCGTCGTCGTGATCGCGTGCCGCCGCGGCCGACGGATTTCACTCTAGTCTTCTCGTGCACGCGTCCGATTTTTAGCTTTTTTTCGCTGTTTCACCACGTAACGATCCCCACGAACACCCGTTAACACTTGTGTCGTTCACGTACTCGGCACGTACCGTAGAATGTTAGCCCCAAAGGCCGAACGAGTTCTTTTCTCGCTTTATTTTTCTTCTCCTCCCCTTTGGAGAAAGGGGTCGATACAGAACCCCCGTAAGCCCTTCGAGGGTGCGACAAGAATTTGGTGTTCATTTTTCTTTCTCTAGGTAAAAATACCGTAGCGCCCGGAACGAAACTTCAAAACGCGCCCTTATGTATTTTTAATGAAAAAGTATTATTACTATTTGATATTATCTTTAACAACCGCTTCGATCAATATAAAAGGCGTTTAATTTTTTGTAAAATAGAATACTCAACATTGACCGTTGCAATTTTTAACATTACATGCTAATTTTTCATTTTTGTGTCCAAAGCATAGACTTCTCTCACCCCTCTTCATACGACTCTGTTAGATACTTCCGATGTAATAAATCAAATATTATAAAATGTTATATACTTACAGTAAATATTATTATTCGTCACTTATGAATAGAACAGAGGACTTGAAGCATAATTATTATGCATAATCACAAAATTAGCAGAGTACGAAACAAATATGTTTCATGCTTAGCTAGTCTTGACATTTTATTTTGCATAAAAATTCATGTTTCGATGTTTTTTTATTATAATGTATCTTAATATAATATATCTTTTTCGTTTTTTATTTTTAGACAAACATTTCAAATAATTTATCATTTTATCAAAAATTTTCCGCCGAGGATTTTATTTCATCTTTTTTACAACCGAAATATTGTTGAATTAAAAATAATTTTACATATTAATCATATAATACGGTTTTCGAATGTTCTCAGATGCGTAATAGAATAGAAATACGTCTCGAAGATCACCTATTTGATACATTTTATTTATAAACAGTAAACACGTGTCTACATCACACAACTTCCGTCAGAACGTTTACGATTCCATAATGATACCAACAAATTTCATTGCACTGACTGCTGTCAGTCGTTGTTGTTAATAATTTAATATTTTATTCATTTAGTCATAGTTCTGCCGTCTGCGTCTACTCTTAATTTGTGTCATTTTTTCAAATTTGTGTACTGTTTTAACATTAAAATGCCGAATGATAAACAATATTTCAACAATCAATTAAAATGTTATTTATCGGAATATTTGTCGATGTGTTTTTGACTTTGGATAAAGTTCTATTCTACAAGTATAATGACGTTAAATTATGATGTGAAAACAATTTAATGTTACTCAATATTTAAATTATTAATTTTTCAAATAAATCGCTTTAAAAAAATATTATTATTTGACAAGTTGAAAACACATATTTTCGGCTGTATACGAATTGCGTCCCAAAATACAAAAGTATACATCGTGAATCCGAGTTGCATTTGCGATGTTTGCAAAACACAACTGAGTTGCGTCCGCGATGTTTGCAAAACACATCCGAGTTACGTCCGCAATTTTCTCGCGACCTGTTATATAAATATATATCATTTATGCATTGGTAAATTTTTGTTTGCCAATTTTTGAACAAAGTCAAGACGTGTTATATTTTTGTTTTCAATTTCAGTCATAGCATTTTTAATAAATTCTTCTTTTTCCACATCCACTCTTCGTTTGTTACTTAAATTTGAACTTCGCATTTTTATACAAATATCTGTTTGAACATTTTTCAATACTTCAACAAATTGAAAAATATTAGGATACTATATCAGGATAAAATATCTAAAACTGCTGAGTGTATTGCATGTTTGAAGTCTGCATAAATTATACTTATATGCAAAATGTAATAGAATGTCGAAGTACCTAAGACCACGCTAACATAAACAAAATTAATTTCCAACAATAAATTGTAAGGTGGTATTTACAGATAAGATATCGATGATAATCGAGATTATCTACGAGTTCATAACTAAACAATATTCACAGTTGCTGAAAACCCCATTGCCGGAGCATAAGCGAAAATTTGGTAAAATTAGTAGGGGGGCTGAGCATTATTTGCTCATTACACCTATAGATACCCGTGTACTCAATTATTTATTTCAACAAGGCAATTTACAAAGTTTGATAATTTGACATATTCAACAATTTAAAAAAAAATACAATTAAGTGCCTTATCTTAAACATTTTTGGAATAGGTATTCGAAACAGAAATTAATAATTAATTAAATTAAACAACCAATGCGGTTATTATGATGTATTTTTAATATTACACTAATTACGATCGTTCCAAGTCATCCAAGTCATGAGAGTAAGTTTGTAAAATCTTACAAATTTGATTTAATTTTTATCACAGAATATTTTTTTTTAATTCAGTTATTAAAAATGCATTTTACAATTATAATAATTATTGTATTTTTAGTCACTTAATAATTTTTAGAGCTAGGGGGCTAAGACCTGTACTTTAAATTTCTGGAGGGGGCTTAGTCCCCTCAAGCAACCCCCTCCCCCAATTTCCACCTATAGGCCTGAGAAAACCGCGGACGCAACTTGGATATGTCGTGACAAAACCGCGGACATAACTCGGATGTGGTCGTAATAAAATCAAGGATGCAACTCGGACAAAATATCATTTAGGGACACAATTCATATGCGCCGATATTTTCGATATTAATTTGGTACAAATGAAGCCAAAGAAAATTACCGAGCTTAGTATGTATTCTTGTATGGTTTCAACAACAAGACGCCAACTTGTTACACTTCAAGAGAAACAATCCCTTTACTGCGTAAGAAGTTCCCGGAAAAACTAATCTCGTTACATGAAGACCAAAACTATCCGCCTCGATCTTACGACTTGACGTGTGATTTTTTCTTATAGGGATATTCAAAGTCACGAGTTTACCAGAACAAAGTTCGAAATGTCTTAGAACTAAAGCAAAAAATTCGTCGTGCCCTCAACAAACTTGATGGGACAATGTGTGATCGAGTGATATTACATTTTATGGAAATAATAATCACCTGTAGGGCTATTAGGGAGGGCCATATACCCAATATTGTTTTTCATTGATAAACCTTAACTTCTCCTAAAAAGAATGATATATTTGTAATGTTTTTTTTAAAAAAAATAAATTTAATTTATAGCAGATTTAAGTCCTGCGTTCTTTTTGATCCTATATTTTTATATTACTTACATAACACACATTATCGAAAAACGTAAACAACATTTTTGACGATAAAAATATGGTCATATATGTCACAGGTATATAAGAGTTATTTAAGATTAATAGAGACTTACTTGAGGTTCTTCAACAATTATATTTATCTAATCACGTTATAACTAATAGATATAAGAAATATTCAATTCTATCGAATTTGTTCCATACTATTTAGTGAGTTTTTAGCATTTGTTATAGCTTTTTCGAAAATAGTCATTAAGAAAAAAAACGTTGTACACAATATGCATACAACATTATACATTTTTTTATAATCCGTTTAGTAAAAAGTCTCGATTTACCGGATAATCGAGGTTCTACTACTTGTCTGTTATACAAGAACTGTATTAGACATTTTTCATAAGTGGTCGTTGAGTACAGTCTTGAAATTTTGAAAAAATTTATATCGATATACGAGCAGACTTTGTATAAACGCTAAAAATAAGACCATTAATTGGTGAATCATGAATTGACTAGATAATTTATATACCTCACAGATCATAAAAGAGCATTCAAGTATTATGTCAGAGAACCAAGCTAAAACTCAAATTTGATATTAGCATCATATCTATCAAAATTCGAATTAATATGTGAAAAAAAAAGTCGATGAATTACAGACACCAATCGTCCAAGGAAAGAGTGCAAAATTATTTATGTTACGTTAAGTAAAAATACACGTTTGAACATCCTTGATCAAAAATATCACAATTGAAAAACAATAAATGTCAACAAATGTCTAAACAATTTGAACAGCTGATTTTTCAGTGAAAAGATGTTCTATCGATAGCTGCATTTACCACGATAATCAACAGTAGGTAAAAAATACCTAAATATTTAATAGGAAAAAGCGTCAAATCGAGAAAATTGGCACTGTTATAACAAAAATAAACAACTATATATGACTTTTCAAATCGGTTTAATTTTTATAGAATGAGGTCTAAGTGTATTATTAGTAAAAATGTATGTAAAAAGATCCACAATGAAAGAGTTTAGAACCCCCCAAAATCCCCCCTTGCGCACGATCCTGACTCCCATTCATTGGTTTTGTAAATTTCTTCTAACCTGCACAAAAGTTTCCCGTAACTCTAAACACTGTCAACCAATTGGGCACTAGAACGCGTTTCACCTGCAGAGGGTAGTTATCGCTCATTACTGGAATCTTTTTATTGGTTATTTTTTGGTTTTTTCACGTATTCGATAAAAATTATTAATTTTGTGTTTTAAGGTGATATGCAGTAATAATATTTTACGACTGCTGAAAATTTCTTATTAAGGAATAATATTTCAAAACATACACAATCACTTTAATAATCAATTATAATTAATAATAATCAACAATCGTCTACATGAGTATATTTTATCGTAAATAATTTACCACACGTCAATTGATCGCAATAACAATAACAACAGCTTATATTTGGTATTCGAATATAATTTGAGATATGTATATATATTTATATAATTTTTTGCGTTCGTTTACATTACATTTTTGATAATTCTAATTAAAATAAGCTATCCAACCTTTGAATACAAGTAAAAACAAAATGTTGTTATATATATTATTAAATGGTCAAAAGTACGAACTATGAAATACATTGATATAAATTCAGTCTGTAACGTCCTTGATTTATCTTACAATACAGTATTAT